GATGAGATTTTATACTGAGATAAAGCACCTCAATCAAATAATCGGTTTTATATAATTATATTTATATTCTTTTTCTCAAAAACTTTATCTAATATTTTTATTTGCATTTTTTAATTGGAACTAATCTGCAATTTGACATGTTACAAGGAGTATTATCGACAATATATCGATTAAAATATTTGACAGTAATACTGACTAAACCATTGACAATTGGTAATAAGATATTAAGTGGAATTCAATGAAAATCATTTCTATCAACGTTACTCATTTTCTATTCAGTGAATGTTCCAAGAAGACATCTATTTTCTTTTGAATATATATAAATCAAAATGGTGGTTGAAGAGAAAACGATGGTTTGTTGAATATGATGCTCATGAAAATACTCTCATTACTGTACCTTATTTTGCTTCAAAAACTTTTGATAATCGTTATTCATATTCATTTGATTTAATTCAAAATTCTAAAAATATTTTATTCAAATATCAATTATTTAAGTATTGATTTGCATAAGTACAATGAAATAGAAAAAATATTAATGTTTTCATTTGTACATCGACCCCGTTTCAATAATGTGATACGACTTTCATTGAATGGATACTTAACAACAGATGTTTGTGATGCAATTCGAAATAATGTTGATCTGAATATGATTCAATATTTTCATTTTTCATCAACTGTCGGTACCACTGAATCCTTTATTGAATTGATTGAAAATATGATTAATCTTTCTTCTATTCATATTCAGTACTTCCATAGTCTTGATCTATTTAATCTAGTTTCATCACCAAATTTTTCTATTCGACATCTTGTTTCATTCGATTATGAACCAACAATAAGAAAACAAATTTTCTCTCATATATGTCGAATCTTTCCACAATTAACCTATTTGACAACAGACTATCATTCACGATGAAGACTTTGTTATTTATTAAATGAACTTGTTCATCTTGAACAACTCACTTTACGTTTAGCTCAAGATCAATATGCTCCAAATTATTCTTGGATCAAGCAACATAGTCGACTACGAATGAATCCATTTGAAATGAGAGTATTTAATATTGCTCATAAAGAAAGAAATCTGATTTTGTGGATCAATGCCAATAATAATATGGAACTTCAACATCATCATCATACATTAAACATATGTTCTATTCAATAATTTCTTTCAAATTATTTTCATTTCAAGCTTATTGTTTTCATTGAAGAAAAACGGAAATTTACTTTTGAAATTTGTAGAGAAAAGAAAACGATTCGTTTTCTTGTGGATTTCAAAATTGGAAATAAATAATCAACGAATAGTGCTTGCTAGTTAACTACCAATCAATGATTTATGAATCATAAGAACTTTGAAGAATAAAATGAGCGTTGATTTGATAATATATATATAGAAAACAGATTATCGTACTTTAGAATCTACTTCATTTCTATTAATATTATATTTTGTTTTTGTAATATTGAATATTTTTACAGCGCATACTAATTCTTATTGAAAATTTCTTCTTTTCCGTATTTATGAGAGACGTCTTCACAGGAAAGAAAAGGGAAACAAATTTTCCAACTAATATCCTCTAAAATACCTTATGAATGTAAATATGAATCTTCCAGAATATATTTCATATGTATGTGGCTTCATCACCTAGTGGGAATTATATGTATTTTGCTGATTTTATCCGATCTCATGAATATAAGATAAGACACGATATTTTTTTCTGTAAACCTTACTTATTTCAAACAATCAAACTAAATAAACCAAATAATCTAGAATCCAATATATTTAGAGTTATTATATAGCTGAAGAATTTTCATGAAACTGCCAAATTTGATGCGAAAACTCTGTGAATATCAATTAACCAGATATTGGTCATTCCTAAAAAAAACGAGTGACTGTTTCTGTAATTGATTACGACATATTTTTTTGTTGACTATAATTACAGTTTAATGAAACCTGTTTTTCTATCAATCTAACTAGACAAGTTATACTTAGTTCAACTGACAGAATTAAAAAGTAAGAATTGCGATATTCATTACCAAGAAGACTCTATCAATGCATATCAACATACTTCTAAGCAAGACTACTGATTAATAATTTAATTATCTAAGTAGTTCATTATCTATCTCCAACTCTACTCTTAGCTGTAATGTACCATCTTAGTTGCTCAATCGAAACGGTAGCTGGCTTTTTATTCTGTTGTTCTTTTGAATATCTTGAATTTGGAAAACAAATGGTTCTTCAAGTTTACTTTTTTAGAATAGCCATTTGTAAGTAAAAATAACTGCCTGAAGGATAAAAGACATTTCTCTTGTTTGCTTTTGAAATTTATTTTTACTTTGGACACAAATAAGACTCTCCTGTTGTAGATATAAATAAGATGTGCCCTGTTAAACAAATTACTGAAATTATGTGAAAGTATTATAAAATTCTTATTAGCACTTTAATATTTCAATAAAGAATATATTACTAGAACGCACGTTTTATTTTAGATAGTTTTTAACTAATATATAGATTTTTCTCGACTGAATTCGATTAAAATTGTTCAAAAGTTATTCTTTTAATAATTTTTTGTTCGTCTAAAATCTTGATTAGTTTGCTCTCTCAATTTTCTAGTGTCTTTACTGATACTTGCCACTTGATCAGATTTTATTGAAATATTGAAATACTATTAGTATTGTGGTAACTTCTATACACCCACATCCACACCTTCAATTACTGAAAAACCTGCATTTATTCAAGCTGTGATGACAGTTTATCCAAAATTTTGTGTTCTATCTCAACAATCAATAACATCAGATTATTAACCAAAATTAAATGAACAGATTATCAACGGATTGAAAAATGCATGTTCATTAGCTGATTTTATTTCGAAAACTCTCAATGGATGGACAAGTCGTCGTATGCGAACTTTCCAAGTCGTTACAATGCATTATATTGATCGAATGGGCCAATTAAGAACACATTCACTTGCTATTAATCCTCTTTCTGGTAAAATTTCTTATTTGATTTCTATTAAAACTAAAGTAGTTTATCATGTAATAATATGGAGGCTTCTGAAAAATGTTTTATTCGCCCTTTTGTTCAATTAAAATGAGAAGAATAGTACTATCATGAGCACCAATTTGAAGAAATATATATAAAATAACTTATAATATGAATAACGAAACTCAATCTTTTGTATTTTCATAAGATGTATCCGAATTAACAAATATATTTTAATAAGAATTCTTATTGTATTCTAAGAAAGCAAGTGATATACCTTCGGACATATTCAATAAATTATTTTATATACAAGATAAAGATGAATAAATATAAAGTTAGAAAGATGAGAGAGTGAGACGAGAGAAATAGAAGAAGAAGCGAGCACAAATGAAACGTCATCTTACGAAATCGTGTACATTGATCTTAGAAAACAACAAAATGAGTGGGGATATATTTTATATAAATTTTGTTTATATCCAAAATGATTATACGTAATTAAGAGAAAAGATGTTCACGATTTATTATGTACAATAAAAAATAAATGATCTATTATGAATCTATTGGTACATAGGCTGCATATAAAAATATGAAACTAAAACAGAATATGGAGACAAGAAGGAAGAAAATAAATAATCAGGATCATCCCAGTGCATACAAATGCATCCAACAAAAATCAAAAAATGAATCAACAGAGTAATCGCTTGTATTTCAACGAGAGAAATTAATCGCTCGTGCATTCGATTACAAATAATGATCAGTTCATATCAAATATAATTTAATAAAATATTCTAGGTAATCATACTGGAGAAAACTTGTTTATGGAAGTTGATCACATTCCAGCAGCATGTTCCATTGGAAATAAAGTTGTCCGACCTATAACAGATAATGCATCAAACAATTTATCTGCTTTTGATGAATTAGTTATACTAGATTTCGAATCATATTTCATAACTGAAGATGACATAGCGAGAAAATGATGATGATGACGATCTAAATGAAATAAACTTGAATATGTCTGAATGACATCGTCCTGTTGATGATGAAGTTCAAAATGAATTTGATAAGCCAGAAGAATTATTAAGGCTGTCGTGTTTCATTCACGTTATCATTTCATGTTCACTACAGAAAATGTTTTGCCATTTGTTTTTATTTCTTTTGAATTAAGAACAACAGTGCAGCCTATTTTCTTTTAAATATTTTAATTCTTGAGAAGATACAAAGGTTTACTCTATCTTAAAAGTATCCGAAGTCAAGCCACCTGATGAGATCCTTTACCGGATGAAAATTTTTCGTGCTAGCTAAACCAATGAGATCATCAGTTTTTTTTCTCCGCTATGAATTTGACGAAATTCGTACTGATTTTGAATTATTTGTTCAACACTTTATTTTCGCTTAAGGTTTGAAAACAATCGATCTTGACCTACTGCGCAGAGTGAGTCACGACATCATGTTATCATCGATGTCGAAAATGACAATTCAATGTGCAACAAATCTGAATAAATATGCAGAATTACAAAGGTCGAATAGAGTATATATGCCATATATATATTTAGATTGATTTTGGCGAAAACAAAAAAATCGAAAAAGAAACAAATGTCGAAGAATACAATCAAACAAGAATTAAAATATCAATGGAATGAGTATCTAGAAGATATGTCTGATCAAAATCGATACTGTGTTAGAAGTGAATCAATTGACGAATCAGAAGACAAGATATTACAAGAATGGATGTCATTAAGTGAGTATATGCATAATTGAAAATCTATCTATCTAGAGAGAAGTTCTAAGTGACGAATTATAAGAAAAAATGAAATTAGCTTATCGAATGAGGATGAATATAGGTGCCCACATTTAGAAGGTTTTCGATTTTTGGTTCTGAAATCATTGTTATAGTTACCAATGTGCGTATTCGTTCCTTTTTTTTTCAAGGTTATCTTGTGTGAAACTGTGTTTAAGGGAATCTTCCTTTCTTTACGAGGTTTCTCGCGAATGATTCGACAAAAAATGATGAAACTTTTAAGAAAGATAGATGTCGATAGGCAGAGCAAAAGTTATGATAGACTCAAAATTCCCAAATGTTTCTTTCAGAAAGATATTGGGTCGAAAAGGCCAAAAATGGCCAGAAGTTTTTCTAAGAGTTGCTCGGTTTCGTAGGAACAACATTTTGAAAAAAAAAAACACGCACCCAAATCTGTCTAAAGTATACTCAGAAAAAAAATTGAGCTCGATTGGACGAACTATATGGGAGAAAAGTGGGGAAAACTTCGCTCTTTTTGTTCAAAAATTGATTTTGAGAAAAAAACCAAATTAAATTTTCCTGCATGTAGCAGGACTTTTCTCTTCAACTAAAGTAATCAAAAAGTGACCATATTCCAGCAAAGAGGGTCCCCGTAAGTCAACTTCTCTCCTTGTTTATTGAAAACTATCTCAATGTTGACGATTTTGTTTTAAAATAGTTAGTGATAAAATTTCTTTGGGATAAGTTCCAGTGAAGATAGGCGTCAGTCATCTCGAGCTCGAGTTCATTGACGAAAATTTGTCAATTTGTGTCGTTTCATGATTACATCAATCACCGTGTGTTCCATTCTTTCTTTCACGTTGTCTAGTATATCTTCTTTCGATTGCCTTTCTATTGCAAGACACGTCGCGTACTACTCTATTCAGTGCCCATTCACATGCTGAGTTCTGTCCAAGGAAAAGTGAGTGCTTCAAAATCTGAAAACAAAAAGCATATAAAACGAAAAATACGAAGGCTAAAAGCCTGGAAAAAAGAAAACCAAATTGAGAAATCCGAAATTTCGACACAATAACTCGATTGTATTGTGTGAGATTTTATGGATTTCTCTATTTTGGAAATTATTTTCGAATGTCGCGATGATGTCGAAATAAATTACGTAAAAATAAGCGGTTATCTCTTTTTAAGAGGTTTTTCGCTTCGA